CAGGCAGGCTTAGGAAGGAGATGGACTTTTCATTGTTTTTTTTTTTTTTTTTTGAGTTGGAGTCCCACTCTATCGCCCAGGCTGGAGAGCAGTGGCAGGTTCACGGCCACGCCAGCATCAACCTGCTGGGCTCAGGTGATCCTTCCACCTCAGCCTTCCAAGTAGCCAGAACTACAGGCACATGCTACAATGCCCGGCTAATTTTTTGATTTATTGTAGAGTGGAGGCCTCGCCAAGTTGTCCAGGCTGTTCTCGAACATGTGGGCTCAGGCAATCCCCTCACCTTGGCCTCCCAAAGTGCTGAGATTACAGCCTTGAGTCACCATGCCCGGCCCATTCATCTTCTTAAACTTTTGAATCTTCAGATGGAAAAGAGCTATACATGCCCAGCACAGTAAAGTAAATAGGACCCACGCTAAGATAAGGTATTATAAGATCCTACCAATTTCCAGATAGGAAAAAAGTCACATACAAAGAAACCAGAATACTTTCTGATTATTTTTCAACTGAAGGATTAAAATAGAGACATTTCCAGCTATTTGCAGGCAAGAAGTGTTTCTCGGGAAGCTACCGGAAGTAATGCTACATCAATAATAAAAGATAAATTAAGAGGAATATGAATATCTAACACAGGCAAAGGAAAGCACTATAGAAACCCATAAGATCCCTCCCTCCACTCTGGGAAGGGGCCAGAGAACTTCTGCCGGGCAATCTCCAGGAAAAAACATGGATTGAGCACATTTGTGACATTAGGACACTTTAAGAAAGTAAATAGTAGATCCTTAGAAAACTAAAGAAATGAAATACATGAAGAAAATTCTTAATTACAGGAGCATACACTATTTAACTCAGAGTTGGAATCTATCCACAAAGTAGCTGGATGCATGTGTTGGTTCAGATTCTCTAAGAAGCAGGTGTGGTAAGAGGTACAAGAGATTGCTTGGAGTAAACATTTGTGAAGGATAAAGAGGAGGGAACCCTAAGACCAACATGCAGTTCTGACAATTGGGAAGGAGAGAAAGTTAACAAGAAAATCTTGGCCAGGCCGATGGGGAGTCCTTCCTTCAGCCAAAGTTCCTCATTAAAACAGTCTCAGATCTAGCAGAAAGAGACCTGAATGAGTACCTATATGGGCTAAGTCTATTGACTAAAGGTAGCCAAAAAGAAGTCTGATGTAGAGTAACTCCAAAAGGGTAGCAGCTTGGGGCCACAACAAGAGATTCAAATGGTATGTAGATACTGACTATTGATGGGAACAACTAACACTGAAATGAGAGGGAAAAAGAGAGGGAGAATGGGAGGAAGTGGTGTTGCAGAGATAAAAGCAATCGCAAGACTCCTTCAGTTGCCATCGTACATTTCTCAACCTCACATGAAGTTAGGTTGAGGCTACTGAGTGGCACGGGACAATGGGAGATGAATAAAAGTGAGGTGTGTCCCTTTCAAGTGGAGGAGAACCGAGTGTGAGAGTTTGGTCCATCATGCTCTTACCCTGAGAAGTGAATTGTGAAGCCACATGTTGTGACTGGTGACACAAGATGGAGTTAACCTAGGTCCTTGAGTCAGTCAACAGAGGACAGGCTTCCACTTAGACACACATCATCCTATCTACCTGCCTTCCCCAGGTGGCAACTTGGCCACTTACTCTAAGGAGAGTCCCGGCCACTGCCCTTCTTGCCTTGTTTCCTAACATCAAGTATCCTCAGCAGCCTCCACCCACCCTCTGCAGCAGTAGCCAAAGCCGCTGCTATATTCAAATTCAACCAGAGCAGACCCGGGCTCTGGTCCTCCCACTCCAACCACTTCTAGATCCAGATGAAGGATTGTGCGGTGAGACGTGAGATCTGGTTTCTCCATCAGCTCCCAGAGCAACTGGATATCACATCCAGAAAGTGCAGAGGAGTTAATGCTTCTGGAGCAAACTTTGGCCAATGAGATGCGGGAGATGAGAAGGAGCTGGAAACTGTATTATGTCCCTTCTTCCCTGTGATCAATTGCTCCATGGTGTGTTGCACTAAAGACATCCTGCATGACAGAGTAACCAAATGCATTTTCTTGTGATGCCGTGGTATCTCAGTAGTGCATCTATGCCTTGGTTTTCTCTCCCGGTCTACCTTACTTTCTTCCACCCACTGTCTTGTTGCCCTGTGAGGCATTACACCTCACAACAAGCCCTAGCATGTAAGCTTTGCCTCAGGCTCTGTGTTCAGTGGCTAAGACACCTTTGGAAGTGACACCTTGGGAAACAGAGAAGTTCAAGGGGAAGAAGTGACTGAGGATACTTCTTCAAAGAGTTGTGCTGAGCCCTGTGTGCAGGAGACAAAACGGGGAGCAAAAAAATAATGACAGAGTTTCTGAACAGCTTAGAAAAAGAATCAAGAGCCACAAACCAAGAAAATGGCTGAGATAACTTTGTTAGATGCTGAGAATTTGTTTCCCTACCTCTGTGATTTCTCTTCTCCCTGACTCTTTTTTCACAAAGATTTGAAATAAAGCCTGTAACGTGAAAAGAATGTCCAGACCCACATGCCAAAATAGCAGGGAAGGGAGAGACAGAAGCTACGGGGACTGTATCCCAAACAATAGTCCAGAGGAGCTGTAGCGTGCCCCATGACAGTGACTGAGGCACAAGGAAGGTTGAGGTCCCAGGCATGCAGAAATGCCATGCATGCCAATGATAATGACAAGAGCTGCAGCACCTACAAAGGGTTTCACTGATACTCTGGTTCAAGAAATGTCATATTTCTGTGAATTTTCAAATTAAAATAAATCAGCAGGGCACAGTGGCTCAGGCTTATAATCCCAGCACTTTGGGAGGCCGAGGAGAGAGGATTGTTTGAGGCCAGGAGTTCAAGAACAGCCTGAGCCATATAGCAAGACTTCTAATTTTTACCCAAAAAAACCCAAATTAACCAGATGTGGTGGCACGCATCTGTAGTCTAGCTTCTCAGGAGGCTGAGGCAAAAGGAACCTTTGAGCCCACGGAGTTGAGGCTGCAGTGAGCACTGATCATGCCACTGCTCTCCAACTTGGACAACAGAGCAAGAGCCTGTCGCAAAACAAGGAATTCCATCTCAGCCTCATCAGCCAAGATTGGCAATGAATCCATTCTCAGATAATGAATGGAAGAATTGGGGAAGTCTCCCATCTCCGGTAAGACTCTAAAATGATGCAAATAGTTAATATGTTATTGAGCACTTACTGTATGCCAAATGCTGTTCTACATACTTCATATGTATTAATTCATTTAATCCTCATGACAACATTTTTGGTTAGATACTGTTAGCATCTCCATGTGATTGATGAGGAAACTGACTCATTCGTCCAAGGTCAAGGGGGTAATGGAGAAAGAATTCAACTCAACTCTTGGGCTTCTGAGTTCCATGTTATTAACTGATACACTACAATGCATGTGATGTGAGACTTTTACAGTCAAAACAAGAGGAAGGGTGTCTGGTCCTTCCAAGGTCAGCTAAGGTAACTCTTAGTCTTCCCTGTTAAGTAATGTGGGGTCCACTCAAAGGGACAGCCTTTATTGAAAACCACATGTCTTCTCACCCTGGATGCCTTGGCCATGAGAAATCAGCTTCAGCTCATGACACAATGGATGGAGGTTCAGCCTACCCAGGACCTTACCACTTTTTCCCATCTCAGGGTCTTGCTGTCTTGGCTCCTCCCTCATTCCTTCTTCTCATAAAGTTCAATCCTCCTTTTCCAGAATTAATTAAGCCTGTGTCCTTTTCCCCTTTGCTGAATCAGTGTCCACCTCCAACCTCTACCAGTGAAAGACTGCGCTTACATCCACAGGTCAGTTCTACACTGGTGCAAAGGAAGATGTGAGATCTCCCCTCTCCTGAAAGAAAAGGGAAATATTTCTTTGTGTTTTCTGAAGAGATTCAAGGTCATGGGGAACTGTTGTAGAGATTTCGCACTGTATGACTCTAGGAGGAACCATTCACGTTCATAGTCATCATATATTTAAATATCAAGACCATCTCTTGAAGACCAAAGCAGAGTACCTTGAGGAAGGGAAGGACTTTTTAAACTCCTAGCAAGGAGTCTTGAGGGCCGGAGGTGGGGCTGGAAGGAGTCCATCGTAAAGCAAATGGGGAAAAGTCAAAACATCATTAATTTCTCAATAACTCATCCAGTTACCAAATTAACATTTACCGGGCACTCCTTATGTCTAGGCACTTTTTCAAAGACTTTATATTCATTGTGACAGTCTTCCAAACAATGAGGAGGCAATATTGTAACCACCGTTTTACAGATGAGAAAACCAAGACGGTTATTTGTCCGTAACTCATAAGTGGAGAAGATGGAATTTGAACCCAACTTGTCAGCCTTGTCTGCCCAACTTGCCAGCCCTCACTCTTACCTTGCTTGGATGAGAAAGCCACACCAGGACTCAGCCTTGGGGAAGGAGCAAGCAAAGGGTCCCGTGACCACAAAAGCACGCAATTTTTTTTAATTTTTATTTTTTATTTCAATAGTTTTAGGAAGTACAGGTAGTTTTCGGTTACATGTTTGCATTGGATAGTAACGAGGAAGTCTGGGTTTTAAGTGAGCCCACTCTCCCCAACTGTGCGCACTGTATCTGACTGGTGATTTTTCCTCTCTCTCCTTCTCCACCATCTGGGTCTCCAGTGTCCATTATTATTCTCTATGCATTTGCAGATCCTTAATTTAGCGTCCACTTATAAATGACAATTGGAGCCAGGCTCGGTGGCTCAACTTGTAATTCCACGCTTTGGGAGCCTGAGGTGAGTGGATTGCCTGAGCCCGTGGGTTCGAGACCCACCTGGGCAACTTGGCGAGACCTCATCTCTACAATAAATGAGAAAAATGAACCGGGCGTGGTAGCGCGTGCCTGTAGTTTCAGCTCCTTGGAAGGCTGAGGCGGAAGGATCGCCGGAGCCCAGCAGGTCGAGGCTGCGGTGGCCGGCAGCCTCCAGTCAAGGTGACAGAGTGAGACGCCAACTCAAAAAAAATAAAAATAAAAATAAAATAAAAATAAAAATAAAAATAAATGACAATTGGGGAGGTCTCCCATCTCCTTTAAGACTCTAAAATGAAGCAAAGAGTTAACATGTTATTGAGCACTTACTGTATGCCAAATGCTGTTCTACATACTTCATGTGTATTAATTCATTTAATCCTAACAACATTTTTGGTTAGGTTTTCTGTTCCTGGGTCAGTTCACTTAGGATGATGTTCTCCAGTTCCATCCAACTGGTTGCAAAAATTGTTATTTCATTCTTTTTAACAGCTGGATAGTATTCCGTGGTGCAGATATACCACATTCTCATTATCCACTGATCAGTTGATGGGCATTTAGGTCAGTTCCACATCTTCACAGTGTGAATTGTGCTACGGCGAACATGTGGGTGCAGGTATCTTTTTTATATAACAACCTCTATTCCTTTGGGTAGATACCTAGTAGTGGGATGGCTGGATCAAATGGTAGATCTACTTTAAGTTCTTTGAGAAATCTCCATACTGCATTTAGCGACAATCCTACCAATGTCCCTTTTCATGGAGTTCCACAGTGGTGGAATCATCCCTGGGGAGGCTGCATGTTCAGACTTTTCACAGGCCAGCACCACTAACCGGCACACATGACTTTGCACAAATTGTTTAACATTTGAGAGTCTCAAACTATCTCCCTGTGAAATCAGGGTTGATGCTCATTGGCTTGCAGAGTGGGGAGGATTAAAGAATGCATCCCATATAAAGTGCCTAGAACATGGATATGTGTGATTTTCCCTTACCATGACCAACTCTCCACCTTCCTCAACACCTTATCACTGAGTCTGTACAGAACCCACCTTTTCTGTTAAATTCCTGGAGTGAGCTTTTTGAAGAGAGACTTAAGCTGGGTTTTATTATCTGATGCAGATAACTTTTCTGATGTGTATCAATCATTTTCATTTGTAAGGTGGGTGGATTTTATATATCTATATCTAGCTGCTGGGAGGAAAATCTTTAAAGCTTCAAGATGGGATTTTTAAGACATCTTTATAAAAAAAAAAAAAAAAAAGCAAAAGTTTAACCTTCAAGGCAAATAAAACAGAACATGAAGTCTATACTTGAATATACACAATATCAAAAAAATAAAAAATAAAAAAGGCTAAGCCTGTGATTGCAGATGTACAACCTTGACTCCAATTGTTCAGACAGTATCAAAGGATTATTTTCATCTGCATGGGTAGTGGGGGCAGCCCAATGCATCATTGTATGATTTCACAAAATCTGTCCTCATCTGCAACACTGCCACTCTAATAACCCCATTATTAGAGATGCCTCATTCATTCACTTATTCTTTCTCTCTCACATCTGCTTTCTTCACTCATTCATCCATCCAAAAATCTCTTCTCGAGTGGTTGCCAGGCATGTGTTCGCTGCTGAGAGAATAAAAATTATTGACAGATTTTTGACAGATGAGCACAGATATCTGCTCTACAGACAGAGACACAAGCATGTTTAGATGATCACAATGGAAAGTAGGTTTTACCTATGGCATGTTACAAGATCAGTAAGAACAAGGGAAAGAAAACGACTTGATTCAAAGGCAAATACGTGAACAATATAATTTTTGTATTTTGCGGTGTAATGAGCAAACACGGGATCCAAAGAACTCCACATTACCTGGGGGTACACAGAAGGCTAGGGGAGAGGGGAGCTCTGAACTACGATAGGAACTCACCAGCAAACCAGGAAACGAAAGTATCTTGGCATTTCTCTCCCCTGGTAAAAGATGAATTGCGCCAGAGGGATAAACCAGGTCATCCCAATCCTCCATTCCTCTATTTGCTTCTGCAGTCTCCAGTTTACCTGATGATTTTCCGGGTCATGTCTGTGAAAGTATACAACCCAGGAACGGTTAAAGTGCAGGGTGGAAAAGACCTCAAGTATTGTTATGATCTGAACATTCGTGTCCCTCCAAAGTTTCATGTGTTGAGCCTTAATCACCAACGTGACAGCATTAAGTGGTGTTGCCCTACACAAAGAGTACCTGGTACTTACTTGTACCCCACAACTCTATAATAAATACAAAATAGAATAACCTTAGAGAGAAAAAAGAGATGGTGTCTTTAGGAGCTGATTAAGCCGTGAGGGCAGAGCCCCCATATAAACGGAATTAGTGACCTTATAAAAGAAGCATAAGGGAGCTCTTTGCCTCTGCTGCCACATAAGAACACAGCATGAGACCTCATCTGTGAGACAAAGGGGTAACCTACACCAGACACTGAATCTGCAGGTGCCTTGATCTTGGTCTCCTCAAACTCCAGAACTGAGAAAAAGAAATGTATTTTGTTTTTTGAGTTGGAGTCTCACTCCGTTGCCCAGGCTGGAGTGCAGTGGCATGCTCACAGCCACCCCAGCGTCGACCTGCTGGACTCAATTGATCCCTGAGCCTCAGCCTTCCAAGTAGCCTGAACTACAGGCACACGCTACCACGCCCAGATAATTTTTGACTTATTGTAGAGATGAGGTCTCGCCAAGTTGCCGGGGCTGGTCTCGAACCCGCGGGTTCATGCAATCTACTCACCTCGACCTCCCAGAGTGCTGAGATAACAGGTTGAGCCACCGAGCCCGGCCAGAAATTTCTATTACTCATAAATTACGCAGCGAAGATAGTTTGTTCTCGCAGCCCAAATAGACTAAGACAAGCGTCTGCTCTAATGCTGCCTTTTACAAATCAGAGACTTCGTGAACAATGCTGCGATAAACATACATGTGCAGGTACCTTTTTTATAAAGTGATTTGAGTTCTTCAGGGTATATTCCCCGTAGGGGGATTGCGGGGTCATATGGAAGGTTGATTTTTGGAGCTTTTAGGAATTGCCACACTGCTTTCCACAGAGGCGGCACCAGTTTACACTCCCACCACCCATGCTGTCTATCAAAAGAGGACTGGATTTTTAAAAAATGTGGCACATATATACAATAGAATATTACACCGGCATAAAAAAGAACAAAATCACGAATCTCGCAGCGACCTGAATGGGACTAGAGTCTATAATACTGAGTGACCTTTCACAGAAACCAAGATCTGAGTATCACACGTTCTCACTCATAAGTGGACCTTGAACAGCTATGGTAATACTGTAAGAAAAGGATTGACAGTGGCAGGAAACTACGGGAGGGGGCAGGGAGGGGCAGGGAGG